ACTTACATTTACTATGCATAAATAACCAATAAATATTCGGTGTAGCAATTTGTGTAACAAATTGGTGCAAGTATCATTACTCTTTTGGATATATATATATATATTGAGATATGAATTGACTGTGCAAGAATTCATTCCATTATCGGGTCGGATTGACTGCAATTCGGTCCGAATATGTCAAGCCGGTTTTCAAACTAAATACCGTTTTGAACGGGTTAGGTCAAATGCCCAACAGGGCGGGAGCTATTTTCCGTTTGATGTCATCATCCCTAGTGTTGCTTTGAACTCTCGTTAGGGTTCCCTCCGCCAGTGTATCCTTTAAACCGCCATTCACAACCAGGTAGCCATTTCCCTATTTCTCTTTCTTTTTCCTCTTCGCATACGTATCATCCATCACATAACATGTGTGTGTATATATAAATATATAGATTCACATATGCACAGAGTCACAGACGCACACATAGAGTATACAGGTTTGCTTCCGATTAGCCTTTTGTTGGTTTGAACTTTGAAACGTTAAATTTCTAATTACCCAGTTAATTTCATTGCTGCAGAAGCCTCTAGGGCTTCATTGAATCCATTGATATATATATACACACGACCTTATGTAAATGGGCAAGAAGAATAAGATTGTACTACCTCCTGAGCTCCCCCCAGATATTTCTGAGGACGAAATTGAAGTCTCCGATGAGGACTTGCAGTTTGTCAACGAGAATCGTGACTATGCTGGCTTTGTCTCCAAACTGGATACCCAATCCATTACCAAGTGTGTATACATACATCTTCCAAACTAAAGTTATTCCATATTATATATAGTTTTACTTTTATGAAAACTGAAACTGTAGTTTTGTTTTTTGGTTTCTATGTTTAAAATGGTGAAAATTTCGGTCATATCTCATAGGGTCTAAAGTTATTGTCTATTCTAACCATGCTGCATTTTTGGGGCATGAGATTATACAGTATGGCAAATTTAGGGACCGAGTTAGAATTACAGCCTTTGATTGGATAAATCTCGGAACTTGCACAAGTTAGGGAAACTTGAAGAACTTAAAAAATGCATAACTATTTGGCATTCCAAAATAAATCAAAAGAGTACTACTGGAAATAAAAATTGGAATTGAAAATCGAAAATCACTAATGCATTTCTAGGCTGAAAAGAATGTGCATGCAAGGATAAAAGGTGATTTTAAGTACGCGGGAATGGTCCGCGGCTCGCGAAAAGACCCGATTCAAAATCCGACTCTCCGACGGCCAAAAATGGCTCGGATATAAATTGAGCATCAAATCCAATATCCGATAATCCCAATAAATAAACAAATCAAATTTTAATTGGGTTTGATCCGATCCGTTAATAATTTGATCCGATTAGAATAATATATTAATATATTTATGTATTACTCAAATATTATGCAGAAAAATGTATGCAATCCTCAAGTTAATTAGTATCAACGTTTAGTTTTCATTAACATTATTATTAGTGTTATTATTATTTTTGACCAATTTCATTAAACAATTAAAAAAAATAGTTTGTTCTTTTAGGCCATGTTTGGTGTGAGTGAATGGAATCAAATGAAGTGGGAATGAAATGTTTTTGTTTCCATTCTTTAGTTTGGTAACTTACTTTAAAGTTGGAATGATAATTCTTACCCATTCTCCGATAATGGTGATTCCCACTAATTTATTCCACTTTCCAACTAAAGGAATGTCCATTCCATTCCCACTTTAAAAATAATAATAATAAATAAATGAATAAAAAAAGCATTTAATGAAATGTCGGCTACACATGTATCTATACATATTTATATATGTTTTACAAAAATATGATTTTCTATGCAACCAAAAATGGGAATGAGAATGGTCATTCCATTCCCATTCCATTCTCTGATTCATTCCATTCCTACTTTATTTCATTTAACCACACTAAACTAGCCCTTATATCCTTGTACAAGCATTCCTTAAAAAAAAATTATATATAAATATATATCAATATTAGATTTGTATAGAATTAATGAAAAAAAAATTATAATCACGGTGTTATATCTATAATACTACCGTGTTCTCACTCATATAGTAATGAATCTTGTCTATTGATTCAAGCCACAAGAACAAAACTTGAAGCCACTGTAAAGGTCTGTATTGCATTTGTGTTTCCAGAAAAACGTAGGTGAAGGGCAAGTGATCAATCGACTGCCAGAAGTGGGAGTCAGCGACTGCCAGAGTAATTTCTTGTTAGTTTATTCTCTCTATTCTCTTCTTTTTTTTCCTTTTTCTTTCTGTCCATCCTTTCCTCTTCCAAAAAGGAAATTGTAGCAGCATTCCCAGTATAACCCTAGAAATAATTTTCAATAAACTCATCTCTTCATTTTCTTCCTTCGTCCCCCTCTCCCTCTTTTTCCTTCTTTGTTACAAAATCTAGCCCTAGGAATGATTTGGAGGAATAGGTAAAAAAGAAAAAGAAAATAAATGACATGGCTTAAGTTTGTTTTTTAAAAATGAAAAGTTAGGGAGATTGTTTAATTAGTATTTTCATAATATCTAAAGTTGCCTTTACAATTAAAAAAAAAAAAAATTTATTCTACACATATTTCTTCTATTTAAAAACATTTGATAATAATTTAGTTATTATTATTTTTCTTTTTTTTTTTTTCTATCATATCTAATCAAGAATATTATTATTATTTTTTATTTTATCACCTATCTATCTAATTATTATTATTATTATAACTAATACTGTTATTTTATCTCCCATGTCTAAGTTTGAATCAATTTACCATATAAGTTATAATAAGATCAAACAACTCATAGAGTGAAACTATTTCAAAATAAAATAATATGCAGGGAGTCATGAAGGATATTGCAATCAGACAACTTTCGAATAGAGCAATGATACTTGTATTGGATTGTTGCACCGAATATTATTGATTGGTTATTTATGCATAATACATGTAAGTGAAGGTCCCACTTCTTTATTTATGCATAAATTGATCGATTAAAATAAATATGCTTCACAATTTATTATAATAAATCGCATAAATAAAGAAGTGGAGCCCTTCACTTACATTTACTATGCATAAATAACCAATAAATATTTGGTGTAGCAATTTGTGTTACAAATTGGTGCAAGTATCATTACCCATTCGGATATGCTTTTTTTTTTTGAGATATGAATTGACTGTGCAAGAATTCATTCCATTAAAAGGTCGGATTGACTGCAATTCGGTCCGAATATGTCAAGCCGGTTTTCAAACTCAATATCGTTTTGAATGGGTCGGGTCAAATGCCCGACAGGGCGGGAGCTATTTTTCGTCTGATGTCATCATCCCTAGTCTCTCTTTGAACTCTCGTTAGGATTCCCTCCGCCAGTGTATCCTTTAAACCGCCATTCACAACCAGGTAGCCGTTTCTCTATTTCTCTTTCTCTTTCTCTTTCTCTTTCCTCTTCGCATATGTATCATCCATCGCATAACATGTGTGTGTATATATAAATATATAGATTCACATATGCACAGAGCCACATACGCACGCATAGAGCATACAGGTTTGCTTCTGATTAGCCGTTTGTTGGTTTGAACTTTGAAACGTTAAATTTCTAATTACCCAGTTAATTTCATTGCTGTAGAAACCTCTAGGGCTTCATTGAATCCATTGATATATATATATCCACACGACCTTATGTAAATGGGCAAGAAGAATAAGATTGTACTACCTCCTGAGCTCCCCCCAGATATTTCTGAGGACGAGATTGAAGTCTCCGATGAGGACTTGCAGTTTGTCAACGAGAATCATGACTATGCTGGCTTCGTCTCCAAATTGGATACCCAATCCATTACCAAGTGTGTTTACATACATCTTCCAAACTAAAGTTATTCCATATTATATATAGTTTTACTTTTACGAAAACTGAAACTGTAGTTTTATTTTTTGGTTTCTATGTTTAAAATGGTGAAAATTTCGGTCATATCTCTTAGGGTCTAAAGTCGTTGTCTATTCTGATCATGCTGCATTTTTGGGGCATGAGATTTTACAGTATGGCAAATTTAGGGACGAAGTTAGAATTACAGCCTCTGATTGGATAAATCTCGTAACTTGCACAAGTTAGGGAAACTTGAAGAACCTTAAAAATGCATAACTATTTGGCATTCCAAAATAAATCCAAAGAGTACTACTGGAAATAAAAATTGGAACTGAAAACAGAAAATCACTAATGCATTTCTAGGCTGAAACGAATGTGCACGCAAGCATAAAAGGTGATTTTAAGTACGTGCAAATGGTCCACGGCTCTCGAAAAGACCTGATTTTAAATATGAATTGACTGTGCAAGAATTCATTCCATTATCGGGTCGGATTGACTGCAATTCGGTCCGAATATGTCAAGTCGGTTTTCAAACTCAATACCGTTTTGAACGGGTTGGGTCAAATGGCCGAAAGGGCGGGAGCTATTTTCCGTCTGATGTCATCATCCCTAGTCTTGCTTTGAACTCTCGTTAGGGATCCCTCCGCCAGTGTATCTTTTAAACCGCCATTCACAACCAGGTAGCCGTTTCTCTATTTCTGTTTCTGTCTCTTTCTCTTTCCTCTTCGCATACGTATCATCCATCACATAACATGTGTGTGTATATATAAATATATAGATTCACATATGCACAGAGCCACAGACGCACACAGAGTATACAGGTTTGCTTCTGATTAGCCTTTTGTTGGTTTGAACTTTGAAACGTTAAATTTCTAATTATCCAGTTAATTTTATTGCTGTAGAAACCTCTAGGGCTTCATTGAATCCATTGATATATATATATACACACGACCTTATGTAAATGGGCAAGAAGAATAAGATTGTACTACCTCCTGAGCTCCCCCCAGATATTTCTGAGGACGAAATTGAAGTCTCCGATGAGGACTCAACGAGAATCGTGACTATGCTGGCTTCGTCTCCAAATTGGATACCCAATCCATTACCAAGTGTGTTTACATACATCTTCCAAACTAAAGTTATTCCATATTATATATAGTTTTACTTTTACGAAAACTGAAACAGTAGTTTTGTTTTTTGATTTCTATGTTTAAAATGGTGAAAATTTCGGTCATATCTCTTAAGGTCTAAAGTCGTTGTCTATTCTGATCATGCTGCATTTTTGGCTCATGAGATTTTACAGTATGGCAAATTTAAGGACCAGGTTAGAATTACAGTCTCTGATTGGATAAATCTTGCAACTTGCACAAGTTAGGGAAACTTGAAGAACCTTAAAAATGCATAACTATTTGGCATTCCAAAATAAATCCGAAGAGTACTACTGGAAATAAAAATTGGAACTGAAAACAGAAAATCACTAATGCATTTCTAGGTTGAAACGAATGTGCACGCAAGCATAAAAGGGGATTTTAAGTACGCGGGAATGGTCCACGGCTGCCAAAAAGACCCGATTTTAAGTATGAATTGACTGTGCAATAATTCATTCCATTATCGGGTCGGATTGACTGCAATTCGGTCTGAATATGTCAAGCCGGTTTTCAAACTCAATACTGTTTTGAACGGGTCGGGTCAAATGCCCGACAGGGCGGGAGCTATTTTCCATCTGATGTCATCATCCCTAGTCTTGGTATGAACTCTCGTTAGGGTTCCCTCCGCCAGTGTATCTTTTAAACGGCCATTCACAACCAGGTAGTCGTTTCTCTATTTCTGTTTCTGTCTCTTTCTCTTTCCTCTTCGCATACGTATCATCCATCACATAACATGTGTGTGTATATATAAATATATAGATTCACATATGCACAGAGCCACAGACGCACACATAGAGTATACAGGTTTGCTTCTGATTAGCCTTTTGTTGGTTTGAACTTTGAAACATTAAATTTCTAATTATCCAGTTAATTTCATTGTTGTAGAAACCTCTAGGGCTTCATTGAATCCATTGATATATATATACACACGACCTTATGTAAATGGGCAAGAAGAATAAGATTGTACTACCTCCTGAGCTCCCCCCCAGATATTTCTGAGGACGAAATTGAAGTCTCCGATGAGGACTTGCAGTTTGTCAACAAGAATCGTGACTATGCTGGCTTCGTCTCCAAATTGGTTACCCAATCCATTACCAAGTGTGTTTACATACATCTTCCAAACTAAAGTTATTCCATATTATATATAGTTTTACTTTTACGAAAACTGAAATAGTAGTTTTGTTTTTTGGTTTCTATGTTTAAAATGGTGAAAATTTCGGTCATATCTCTTAAGGTCTAAAGTCGTTGTCTATTCTGATCATGCTGCATTTTTAGGGCATGAGATTTTACAGTATGGCAAATTTAAGGACCAGGTTAGAATTACAGCCTCTGATTGGATAAATCTCGCAACTTGCACAAGTTAGTGAAACTTGAAGAACCTTAAAAATGCATAACTATTTGGCATTCCAAAATAAATCCAAAGAGTACTATTGGAAATAAAAATTGGAATTGAAAACAGAAAATCACTAATGCATTTCTAGGTTGAAACGAATGTGCACACAAGCATAAAAGGTGATTTTAAGTACGCGGGAATGGTCCGCGGCTCCCGAAAAGACCCGATTTTAAGTATGAATTGACTGTGCAAGAATTCATTCCATTATCGGGTCGGATTGACTGCAATTCGGTCCGAATATGTCAAGCCGGTTTTCAAACTCAATACTGTTTTGAACGGGTCGGGTCAAATGCCCGACAGGGCGGGAGCTATTTTCCATCTGATGTCATCATCCCTAGTCTTGCTATGAACTCTCGTTAGGGTTCCCTCCGCCAGTGTATCTTTTAAACCGCCATTCACAACCAGGTAGCCGTTTCTCTATTTCTGTTTCTGTCTCTTTCTCTTTCCTCTTCGCATACGTATCATCTATCACATAACATGTGTGTGTATATATAAATATATAGATTCACATATGCACAGAGCCACGGACGCACACATAAAGTATACAGGTTTGCTTCTGATTAGTCTTTTGTTGGTTTGAACTTTGAAACGTTAAATTTCTAATTACCCAGATAATTTCATTGCTGCAGAAACCTCTAGGGCTTCATTGAATCCATTGATATATATATACACACGACCTTATGTAAATGGGCAAGAAGAATAAGATTGTACTACCTCTTGAGCTCCCCCCAGATATTTTTGAGGACGAAATTGAAGTCTCCGGTGAGGACTTGCAGTTTGTCAACGAGAATCGTGACTATGTTGGCTTCGTCTCCAAATTGGATACGCAATCCATTACCAAGTGTGTATACATACATCTTCCAAACTAAAGTTATTCCATATTATATATAGTTTTACTTTTACGAAAACTGCAACTGTAGTTTTGTTTTTCGGTTTCTATGCTTAAAATGGTGAAAATGGTGGGCAATTATACTCTCTGGTGTTATGGGAAAGTAGCTCCAAATTTTTGCATACAGTTCATCGTGCAAAAATTATAGAGAAAAAAAAAAAATCAAGAAACTAAAGTCCTTATTTTTTTTAGTCTTCTTTATGCCAAAAATTGAATTTTAAATGACCACTTGAGGAGATGACAAACGAAATCTCCCAGTTTCTATTAATTTGTGAGGCTTTTTCTTTTTTTACCCTTTTTGTTAATGGATTTTTTACTCTGTGCAATTGATCAATCTCATTTTACTTTGAAAGGCATGTTAAACGTGTTGCTGATGTAAAAGAAGATGCTTTGGAGTCTTTATATGAGAAGCGGTCGAGAAAGAAGTCGGTAGAGAAAGAAAGGGAGGACAAAGGGCTTGAAGTTGATCCTGTGGATGCCCTTCCTGTGAAGACTTTAGATGGAAAACTTTACTACAGGACGGGTATTTTACAGTTTATTTTTTTTGTCCTTTTCTTCTCAAATGCCTTTTAGACATTGTTTCAAGTATATGTAGAGAACTAATTTTCACATATTTTGGTTCCTTTTGGTTACAATATAGTATCAAAAACATCTAAAATTGCACCAAGTGAGAGTGAAAATGAAGCCGATGGTGATCATGGAAATAAAAGTGTTGTGAAGTTGACAAAAGCAGAAAAGCGGGCGAAGCTTAAGAAAATGAGGAAAGAGGCAAAGCAACAAGAGAAGGTGGTTATAGAAGAAGATGAAGTGCAACAACAAACCCCTCAGGCTGAAGTTCAGGTATTTCCATAGACAACTTTTGCAAGTGATTTTGTTTATTGATATATTGGAAAAATAGGCGCACAGATTCGAATGGAAGTGTGAAGCCCTGAAATGCATTTTTGTACTTGACGTGCCACTTCTTTGGATATCATGTGGATCAAGGCTATCTCATGATAGTTAAAATATGATGCATTACATTTGTCAGGAAAGGAAAAAATATAAGCTAATGCAGTACAATCTCACTAAAATTTGTGCACTTGTGATTTTGCTGTTTGCTGTAGCGTAGAAAGACATTATTTGGGACTGAATGTTTGTAGTCTTATCTGTTTGAACTATATGCCACTCTGCTTCTCTTTCCCCAATCATAGTTTTTTTCTGGAGTGAAAAGATCTAACTGAATCCCCCCCCCCCCAAAGGAATTATTTACATTGATTGTTTTTCTTTATTATCTATTATTACATATTTGAGAAGATACTAATATATATGTACAAACTGCTCGAAGCTGGGATTGATGATCGGGAGTGTACGAGACATTGTTTCATTCTAGCTACAAAAATTGATTGCCATTATTAATTTTTCCATAATTTGCTTTTCTTACCGTGTTTTACTTTTGGAGTGAAAGCAGATTCTCTCCAATTGTTTTATGAGTAATTGTTTATTCTGAAACGGTATATTTTCTTTGTTTAGGCTGAGGTGAAAAAAGATCTCTCAGCTGAAGAAGCCAACGAAGGAAAAAAGTATAGACTTGCAGAGTTGGGAACAACTCTGCTTACGGACCCAGAATCAAATATCAAATCTCTTAGAGAGATGCTGCAGCTCTCAAAAGACGGAGATCATGCTATAGTTGCACTTGGACTAAAGTCTTTGTTGGCTGTTTTCAGAGACATCATTCTTGGGTAGAATATTGTTTTTATTTCACAGTGCTTTCTGCACATTTTTTACTATATACGTATATGTATTATTTTCCTTCTTTTGTTATGGTCCAAATCTTTACTCTCTCTCTCTCTCTCTCTCTCTCTCTCTCTCTCCCCATGTGCACTATAGCTACAAGATCAGGCTGCCCACTGAAAAGGAACAGGAAATGGTTGTTTCAAAGGCTGTCAAGAAAATGCGGTACTATGAATCTACCCTCCTGTCCGCATATAAGGTTTGACTTGGCATTTTATGGAACTGAATATTTTAATTTGAAAGGAGTGTTGATTTCAATCTAGATTTTAATGGTTGATATGGTATTTGGTTCCTTATTTTAAAATGCATTCCTGTTTTTTATTGCTGAACTTGGTTGTTAGTAATATATGTGGAATTGTACAAACATGAAGTGGATGCTTTTGTACCAAGGCCTACTTGTGCAATACTTTCTTGACAGAGAACTTAAATTTCAGCTGGTTGTATAATTTCATTTTATGTTTATGTGATGGTAGTGGAAACCTGTTTGATAGGAATTTCATTCCTCTACTAGGAGTTTTCTGTTTTGTATGAATTCGGAGGGAAGTTTTTCTTTAAATTTTTGGATATCTTAACTGTTGTCAGTATTATATCAGTTTTTCAGATGTTACTGGTAGAAGCTAAGTTTGTTCTACACTTTTATCTGAGAAAAAGAATAAACAACGTCTCAAAAAATTTCTTAGTTCAAAAGATATTAATAACCATAAAGGTATCTTTTTAACCTTATCCCAACAAACATATGAAAATTTTGTCAATCCCTGCACGAGTAAGGGCAATTATTTTCTTGTTGTGTTTGATATAGTATCAGTTAGGAGTTGGACATACCACAGTAAATTGAAATGCACTTGGATTTCTATGTATCATGGACCTCATGGTTGAACTCTTGACATGCGTTATCACGTTACTAGCTAATTGCTTACTATATTTTTATTGTTAGAAGCTTGATAAATATGTGAAGAAGCTGTTATCTAAAAGTTGGGGTTTCCCATTTTTGAGGTTGGGATACGATTTGTCCTTTTTCAAGATTGGTATCAGTCTAGAACTACTTTAGATCACATGGAAGCATTATATTGAGCTCTGTTCAGGATGAGTATTTCTCAAAGCACAAGTCGGTGTCTATGCAACACTTTTCCCCCCTCCCTCCCTCTCCATCTTCTCTCTCACCCTTGTCATCTCTACATCACACCAAATAACTAGGTTTTGTTTATTGCAGTTCTTATCTTTTATTGCTATATACTGAGTTACTTCATATTTTGTGTTGCCGACTTGCAGTACTGATATTATATTTTCTTTACTAATCTTAGCTATTGGTCTTATATAGATTAAGTCACTTCTTGAAAGTAAGGCTTTCTTCTCTCACTATAAAATCAGTTCTATTTAATAATAACGAAATGCTGGTTTACTTCATTATATTTGCTTTTTATGTAGACATTTAAATCTCCTGTGGTTGTTCACTACATTTATCTTTCAGATTTGATCCTAAACGGACATCAATCCAAAAGCTTATCATATCTTCTGAGGTTAAGAATTTGCTGTAAATTTTTTTTTACACCTAATTCTCCTGAGGCTTTCTTGTCTCATTAGAAACTGTATATATATTTTTTCTTTCTTTTTTAAATAATGAAATGCTGGTTAATTTCATTATATTTGCTTGCGCTGTAGACAGACATTTAAATCTCCTTGGTCGTTCACTGTCTCTGTCTTTCAAGATTTGATCCTAAATGAACATCAATTTAAAAGTGTTTCATATATTATGAGAAATTAAGAATTTGTTGAATTATTTTTAAACTAATTCTCCTGCACATATGCCAACACTACTGTTTAGAAGGAAACATTGTAGAAAAACTTACACCTGCCATTGATGAGTTCATTGATAATTGTTGTCCATTTGCTCTTAATCATTAGAATCATATCTAAATTGCAAGTTTTGATCCACCCCAGACCTGCACTCTCCAGGCCGGTCTGGAAGGTTTAGGGGCCATGGGATCAGCCATTAAACGATAGTAGTAGAGTTTTTACCATTCATTGATTCGTGGCTGAGGTCTGTAAAATCCAATCTGACAGTTCAAATTGTGAATTTAGACACATCTGTCTGGGTGAGCTGGTCTGAACTCTGAAGTGGATCTTCTCTGAATTGCAAACTCAGTTCAAAACATTTGTTTAAAGTTGATTGAATAAGCCTTAAACTGTGCCTGGCAATTGAAGCCTCGTATATAAGACGGTTTGGAGTGTGTCTGCATATAAACTGATGCATGTGTGTGTCATCACTCTTGCATGTTGTTGGCATAGTTTTTATGTTACACAAACACACACATATGTATTTGTTTATCTTTATATGCATGTCTCTGTATATATTATGTACAAGCTCATGATGCTGATTGGTGAAAGATCTCCTTATGTACACTAACAGGCATACCTCCAGAGGTTGATAGCCTTAGAACAGCAGGCCTCATTTCACCGTGTGTCTGTTCGTTGTACGTGCACTTTGCTAGATGCAGTTCCTCACTTCAACTTCCATGAGAATTTATTAGTTGCTGTTATCAAGAATATAAGCTCCCAAGATGATGTTGTAAGGTGTTGCTATGTCTATTGTTATTGTTTTTTTAGCATTTATACAATTATTTGTAGGATTCTACGGAGAGGGCATTTTGCTCACGCTTTATTGCAACAATCTCTACTCTTTGTTGACAGAAAACTCTGTTGTGCAACTGTTAAGTCACTTTTTACCAATGAGGGAAAACATGGTGGTGAAGCTACCATAGAGGCTGTTCGATTGATTGCAGATCATGTGAAATCTCATGATTGCCAATTGCACCCGGATTCCCTCGAGGTAAGCAATTTAGTGATTTACCTTTTTGTTTCTCGTAATTAATGTGTTCCTTTCAATCATTTGCTAGTTTGGCTTATCAACTTGGAATTGTATTATTTGGATTTGGAATGAATTGTAAAAGTTGCATCCTCTAAAAATCTAGATTTGGCGTGAACTGTAGAAGTTATAATGCAGTTGGAGAAAATTTAAGGTGAAGAGACATGCTGATGAGCAGAGGGCTTTATTAGCAGTATTTATGTTGGAAGGTGAAGTAGAACATTGATGGAAAGGGACAAACAATATTGACCCTGGAGGATGAATCTTTACCCTGGGGAATTGTTGAGGTACTCTATGAAAAATTCTTTTCAGACTGTGTGAGACCAGATGGAAGTTGAATTCTTAAAGTAGGGGAAGGAAAATAACAAAGTCCTGCAATCAAAGGTAATACTGATGGTGAAAGTTCTTTTGTAGTATCACTTCGCAGAGGATGCCATTGGAATGTGAGGATGAAATCAAGTATCCCATCTGTTTTAATTGTGAGGCACATAAGTTAGAGGACTAAATTTCTTTTGAGGGGGGGGGGGGGGGGGGTGTGAGATATTATTTATTTTTGACAATTATCGTAGATATAACAAGTCTAAGTTGAGTTGTAATTTAAATTACTTGTTCTACAACATCAAGTTCAACAGGGATTCCACAACTGGGAAGGAGTTCAAACTTACTATATTTGAAGAGTTTGTGAAGAAAATGGTAAGAACATCATTTTAGGAAGAAAGGTATACAAGGTTGGATATTCTACACATTCCATGTTGGTCTACAATTTCCGTAGAATGAACCAAGGCTGAAGGAATTCGAAATCCAAGTCTGCCAACCTTGAACTGGTTCAGCTTCCTTGAACCGGTTCAAGATGTTCAAGTTTGATACACTATCAAACTTGAACCGGTTCAGCATCCTTGAACCGGTTCAGCATCCTTGAACCGGTTCAAGAACTCCTGTTTGCAATACAACTTCAGTTTCCTTTTTCCAATTTATTTCCCAGTTGGTCTAGAAGTGTACCAAATCCTATACACGAAATTTACCTTATTTTCAGAGGGATTAGGTCATTCTATAATCTATATAAACTATGTCATATACATTGGTTTATGGGACGGCTATTACATTATAATTCAGATATTATTCAAAGCCTTAGGAAGTTTATTTCTCTCAGATCAAAGTTGATTTTTCTGTTGTCTTCCTAGAACCCACACATATTCACCTAGTGAGTCTAGAGTTGTGGTGTTCAAATCCCGATCGTGATCATACAGTTGTATTAGCATTGATCAGATAAAGCAGATCTTTTTCTAAATCATTCAGAGACAGATTGAAGAACAGAAGTAAACGCAGTCACACTTTGGAAGGGTTGGAGCATTCGCTGAGTGCTGTCTGATCTACGTGCTACTCTTCTATAAATATCAAGTGTAAGCCTGAGATCAAGTTGCTGTTGGACGGGAGTCGCAAAGCCAGAGGATTGTCAGCGTTTGGTGTGGTGTAAAACGATAGGGTGTGAGCCAGAGTCAAAGTTCGGTATACTTTGTTCCAAGCATATTGGATTGGTTTACTTTGGACTGCACAGTTCACGAGGTTTTTCCCATTACAGTTGACGTATTTTATCAACTGGGGTTTCCTCACTAAAATCCCGGTGTCATCTCTAACTTTATACTTTGCATTATTTTATCTGCATGTGATTAACTGTTTAATTATTAAAACATAAACTAAGCAAAGTTGTTAAGGACACAGATCTGTTTTCTAGAACAAACAAAAACTTTTCTGTATACATTCCGCTGCGTACGACTCACAATTTGGTATCAGAGCCATCCTCTATACATTGAGTTGATCCTTGTTGGAAAGTTTTGTTTTGTGATAAAAAAATTGTTTTAATCATGTCTTATGCGTTGAAAAAGGGCGGTTCTAATCAACGTGATCCTTTATTTGAAGGAGATAATTATAATTTTTGGAAATCAAAGATGAAAGCCTATTTGCAAAATTCTGGTGGTAAAACTTGGGCAATAGTTGAGTCTGGCTATACACCTCCAACAGTAGATACAACTGCGGATGGTAAAATAGTCAAAGAGTTAAAAGATAATTTTGCTTTTACTGCTATTGAAACTGAGCGTAATGATGCTAATGGCAAAGCTTTATATTCAATTATTAATTCTGTTGTTCCATCTGAATATGCTAGAATTTCTGATTGTAAAACTGCTAAAGAAGCTTGGGATATTTTGCAGGTTACTCACGAAGGAACTTTAAAAAGTGAAGTTGTCCAAATTCAGTTGCTCTCTCATAAATTTGGCAACATTGTGATGAAAGAAGATGAATCCTTTTTGACTTTTATTCTAATCTTCTTGAAATAATCTCTGAACTGCGTCACTTGGAAAAAAAGTTAGTGATAAAAAAATCTGTGAAAAAATCTTAAGGTCTTTACCTAAGAGATTTTAGATTAGGGTTGAGACCATCTCTGAACATTGGGATTTGACTACCTGTCGAGTTGACGAGATGGTTGGTTCATTAAAAACTTTTGAGATGCAGAATTTTGATTTAAATCAGAAGGAGAAAAATCTTGCTTTAAAAACTACACAGGTTGAGAATTCTGTAAATGATGACTCTGATGATGACATTGCATTCTTGTCAAGGCAATTCAGTCAGATTTTGCAAAAGCAACAAAAAAGAAGGAATAACAACATGGCTGATCTTAAAAACTTTGACAAAACATTAAAGTTTAGGTTTAATGAAAAGAAAGTAGAAGAATCCAAAGAAACTGAATTCACATGCTGCAATTGTGGTGGCAAAGGCCATACATCCACTGTTTGTCCTAGTCCTAAGAAAGAACAAAAGGATAGGAATAAAGGGAAAGTAATGAAAGTTTCTATGTCTGAAAATTCTACTTTAAGCGATAGTGATTCTCCTCAGGATGATACTAATGATTTTTCATGTCTCTTTTCTTGATAGGGGTCCTCATGTCGTTCATTTATCTGACTCTGACAGTTCAGATAATGAAGACAATGAAGTTCATGATGAACAGATTGAAGAAGCTGAAAAGGACAAGGAAAGGTTGAAGAAGATGGTCAAAGAAACCATTGAAGTCAAACAGGCAATCAATAAGCTAGTAAAGGAGCTTATCTAAGCAAAAGGAGAGAATGAAGATCTAAAGAAACAGATTGCTGAAGGCAAACAGAAGGCTATTGAAAGAGAGTCAGTCATTATTGAGCTTGAGAAACAGATTATCATTCTTGAGGATAAGGTAAGTGTTGTTAACTCATTAAAGGAATGTCTTGCTTTGAAAATGGATTATCTTGAAATTGAGTTGAAATCTGAAAGAGATAAACTGAAAGGGTTCAATATGAGTCAACACAATTTGAATAAGATGATCAACATGGGTAAGGATGTGAATGATAAAACAGGGGAAGGATTTGTTAAAGGTTCTTCTAGTAATCAAGGTAAAACAATATTTGTTAAATCTGCTATTATGCCTAAACCATGTTTGCCTGATGCATCACATTCTGCTATGTCTTATGTGCCTAAATTGTTGCATTGCACTTTTTGTGGAAAAAATGGACATAAGTATAACTCATGCCTTCATAGGAAAAAGAAAGATTTTTCTAAAATTGATTCTAAATCTTCTCATGATAAGAACAAGGTGCATTCTAAAGGGAAAAAAGAAATTGACATCCAAGGTTTCTAGAACTGGAATTTTACTTAAGAAAGAGGTAAAGAGAGAAAAAGAATTTCAGGAAGTAAGAGTGAGAACTGTGTGGATCAAAAAGTCTGATTTGATCAATTATGTGCCTATTAAGTCATTGGAACAGGTTTCCAAGGGGACTTCACCCTTAAATTAAGTCCTACAAAATTCAGTGATCATGGCGTGTGTTTGAAAGAAAATTTTGTGGCCATTGGATCATTTGTTAGGGTTTGGTTAGGGTGTGTTTTTCTGATCATAATCTTCTTGATATGCATGTAAAAATTCTTTTGAAGAATTTATGATCTATCTTTGAATGCAAATTGATACACATGATATTTTGAATAAATATAGATTCTCTGTCTGTAATCTATACATTAAAAGATGATTTGCATTGTTTAAGGGATTTTTAGTTTTGAATCTCTTAAGTTCATAGACTTTTGTGCACTAGTCCATCTTTGACAAATTTAGTTGAAATTTTTTTAATCTGTTGACTAGGGTTTATTGTTTACAAAAGCTATAGAGGTTATTGTTTAAAAAAATATGAGTTAAAAACAAAAGAAAAAGATTGAAAAACAATATTCAGCTTGAAAAGAAAGAAGAAAAAGTGCTGAATAAGTTGAAAAGGAAAATGCTACCTATTGAGATTTGATCGAAAGCTACCATTAAACTATGAATTGAAGCGAAAAGTGGAGATAAGTTGAGTTGGGGAATTGCTGACTACTCTTTAGAGTGAAAGCCACATTAAAAAAAATTGCTCAAAACAATTTTATCTTGATACTTTTCGATCAATAAGGTTTAGACAATGATCTATTGAAATTCAACTGAAGATGGATTAGATTGGATTTCACACACACATATGAACTTGCTAGATTAATTTCTAAATTTTTCAGTAAAATTTGCAAGTTTGATTTCATGTTGTGATTATTTTTTGAGATTTGAAAAGTCTGTGGAGTCAAATATTTGTTCTCTGAGATAATTTTAAAATTCTCTTAAATGGTTTTGAATCGTGTGTTGATTGGATGGTTTTAATGATTGGTGATTTTATTTTTTAATCTTATTAAAAAAAAAACAAAAAAAAAAAAAAATTAAAAATTTTGAAAAATTCAAAAATATTTTGATTTTTAGGTTTTTAGTTTATTTTGTTGCAAGTTTTAATCACTGATGTGTTAAAATTTTCTGAAAACAACATCATTATTTCAAGACTGGAGGTCTTGAACCGGTTCAATGAGGGATGGACCGGTTCAAGCATGTCATTTAGCCACGATCAAGTGACTGTCCATCTTGAACCGGTTCAAGATTGTAGAACCGGTTCAAGTCTTGTGCACTAAAGTGCACTGCCTTTCTTGAACTGGTACAAGAGGGCTGAACCGGTTCAAGAATACGGGATTTAGGTTTTAATACATGCTTCAGGCCTCATTTGTTGCAACATCACTCCATTTCTCTTGCACTCTCTCCCTCCTTCATATATACACATACATATACATCATATATATTACATCTTTGTCATCATTCCATGCTATAACATTGATCATTACATGATATTTGGAGATTGATAACAAAGATTGGAGAAGTTGTGTGAAAACTGAAATTTCAAAAATGGGTTTAATGAAGTTTGTGGAGTTTGGGTTTAAATCTTAGAGGATTGGTTAATCTTTTGAATTGATTGAAGAGATTGAAGCTTGATTGTACTTGGTGAATATCACTTTGCATTTGTTGATTGATTTTGGGGTAAAGTGAAGATCAAAACAAGGTTTACAACAAACACTTTTGGGGTTGCACACCAAGTATTTGATAAAATTCCTGAACGAGTTTCAAAGCTTCAAAGTGAGAAATTTTCTAAAGAACATGCCTCCTAAATTGTCTAGAACTGGCATTTCTATTCAAGAACCCCAAAGTGGTTCTCAAGCTCCAAGCATGGCTCTTATTCGATATCCTTCAGTTTCTAGCACTGAAAGGATTGAATTTACAGCATCACATTTTTATAATGCAGAGGCTTGGAAAGTGTATAACTCTGTTTACAAGGATGGGCCGATCAAAACAGAGAGGAATGTTAATCTTCAGAAGCTTCAAGACACCGCAGGACAAGCTCTAGTGAACTACATCAAAGCTCATCATTGGCTTTATTTCACTAAACTCAGCAAATGCTTTTATTGTCCGGATATGATTAGCTATTTCTATGCTAATATCCGTGAAGTTCATGACTTCCACTTCATTGTATCTTTGTTTGGAGTTAATTATACAGTTAATGAACAGGATATTGCATCCATTCTTGACCTTCCGGAAAATTGTCAATTATCGGGACATACTTTGCCTTCGACAGTTAGTGGACTTAATTTTTCCAAGATTGTTCCGAAGATCTGTGAACCGAATTCTTCTGTGAATCAAGATACGATACCAGCTCGATTTCTGACAGATAAAGCCGCATTCTTTAACTTGTTTGCTATGGCAAATTTGGGCTACTTTGGGAAGAAGGATGAATTGTCGCTGGAGTGGGCACAAGTATTGTATTTCCTCCAGATCCGTCTCTTCAAGCTGAAGATGAAGGAGATGATGAAGATGAGGCTGAGTATACAGATGAGGATGAGGAGGATGAGGATGCAGCAGAGAGTGGTGACGAGGATGAAGAAAAAAGTGATGAAGACTAGGGATGATGTTTCTTAGTGATGAAGACTAGGGATGATGTTTCTTATCTCTGAGTTGTTAAGGGGACATGGTGCTGCTTTTATTTTATTACTAATCATGCATCATGACATCATGTTTTGTTTAATTATTGCATAACTTGTTTCTGATTTTGGATATTCCTGGAATATGCTTTCATAGACTTTATTATGCTTATCTGAATTGTGCTTTAATTGACTTCTTTGAATTGGAATTTACTGTTTTAGTTTTCTTTTCACTCCTTTGTCAATTTGTTACAAAAAGAGGGAGTCCACCTGTCAATATGAGGGGGAGATAAAATAAGGGAAGAAATAATTGGATATTTACTTCAGGGGGAGTTTTTTTTTTTTTTTTTTTTATTATTAAACTTCACTGGTAGTTGTTGCTTGATAATGTGCAGGAAACAGGTCAAGTTTTGAATCCAAGAAGAACAGTGTTCATATTACCTTTAAGCAAATCATGTAATTTATTTTTTTGCTTGGGGTAGATTGCAAAAATTGTTTTTAGGGTTTTGTCACGAAATTGCCAAAGGGGGAGATTGTGAGATATTATTTATTTTTGGCAATTATCATAGACATAACAAGTCCAAGTTGAGTTGTAATTTAAATTACTTGTTCTACAAGTCATCAAGTTCAACAGGGATTCCGCAAACTGGGAAGGAGTTCAAACTTACTATATTTGAAAAGTTTGTAAAGAAAATGGTAAGAACATCATTTCAAGAAGAAAGGTATACAAGGTTGGATATTCTACACATTCTATGTTGGTCTACAATTTCCGTAGAATGAACCAAGGCTGAAGGAATTCGAAATCCAAGTCTGCCAACCTTGAACCTGTGATGATCCGGATTTTTTTTAGTTTAATTTATCACTTTTAATTGTCAAAGATTGATTATTTTATTAAATTGGAGACTTGCATAATATATATATATATATATATATATATATATATATATATATATATATATATATGGTGAAGGAGGAAGGGCTGCTAGCCGTGGGATTAAAAAGAAAAGGAAGAAATAGAAAGGAAATGTTAAGGTTGATTTCGGGTCCCACTTAAGATATTTATTTGATGGTTTTGTTATATATATATATATATATATTTATTGTATCTTGTCTCAAAAATGGGCCAGCCAAATGTGGAAGGATGAAAAGATTGAATTGTGAAGTTTTTGGTGCGGGTCCATCTGACGAAGAGATTTGGTGTTGTGGTATTTTTATATATTATATATATATATATAATATATATATATATATATATATATATATATATATATACATATATTTTGCATGTGAAGGTCACAGCAAGGTTCCAACGAATTGGAAAGAGTAATGGGTTTTTGATTTGGTTGTATATATTTGGTATGCTGATGGAGTGATGGGTGTAAGTGTAATGATGGATTTTTCTTCTTCTGGGACCCACTAGGATAATTGCTTGGCCAAGAAATACACTTGTCTCTATTTTGTTCACGTGGGTTCTCTGATAGAGTGTTAATGAAATGAAATGATGAGATTTTGGCAGTCCACTTTTTGACTTGGGCTTGATTTCTTTACATGGGTTTTTCTAAGCTGAAAGTGGGATTGCGTGGTGATGAGAAGGAGAGAGAATGGGTTCTGTGTGGTGAGCTTTTGTGTGAGGAGTCGGTGCATTTGCCTATAAATTTAATGTGGGTGCAGTGAGTGTAAAGGCAGATGAGAAAAATTAAAAAGAATTAGAGAGAGAGATGGAAAGGTCGAGATAGACAGAGAGTTTGAGAAACAGTGAGAGTTTGAGCAGATAGTGAGTGGGTCGAGAGTTGCAGAGGGCGCAGCGGAAGCTTGAGGACTTGATGATCCAGTGAGAAATTCATCTTTTTCAGTGCAGGGTTCTCTATACCTTGAATGGCATGGGGAGGTTTTGATTAAATGTTTTATGAAATGTTTTGATTAAATGCATATTTATTTTGTCTATATACTCACATGATTATGTATGTTTTGTGAAACTGTTTTATTAAACCTCCATGAGATTCTTGTTATGGTTTTTCCTACTGGGACTTTATCTCACCACCCTCCAGTTTCAGGTACCGAAGATGGACGGGGATCGTAGAGACGGGCTTAGGATGAAGAGTTGGCGTTGCAGGATTTATTTTATTTATTGGAGAATTTTTGTATTTTTGAGGAAATTGATTTTTGTATAAAAGAGGGCAATTTTTCTGATCCTGGGTGTATTTTGATGTATTTGTATATGAATAAATGGAGGATTTTATTGGAATTGTCGGGTCGTGACAGAACCAGTTCAGCTTCCCTTGAACCGGTTCAAGATGTTCAAGTTTGATACACTGTCAAACTTGAACCGGTTCAGCATCCTTGAACCGGTTCAAGAACTCCTGTTTGCAATACAACTTCAGTTTCCTTTTTCCAATTTATTTCCCAGTTGGTCTAGAAGTGTACCAAATCCTATACACTAAATTTACCTTATTTTCAGAGGGATTAGGTCATTCTACAATCTATATAAACCATGTCATATACATTGGTTTATGGGACAGTTTTTACATTATAATTCAGATATTATTCAAAGCTTTAGGAAATTTATTTCTCTCAGAAAATCAAAATTGATTTTTCTGTTGTCTTCCTAGAACCCACACATATTCACCTAGTGAGTCTAGAGTTGTTGTGTTCAAATCCTGATCAAGATCATACAGTTGTATTAACATTGATTAGATAAAACAGATCTTCTTCTAAATCATTCAGAGACAGATTGAAGAACAGAAGTAAACCCAGTCACACTTTGGAAGGGTTGGAGCATTCGCTGAGTGCTATCTGATCTACGTGCTACTCTTTTACAAATATCAAGTGTAAGCCTGAGATCAAGTTGTTGTTGGACAGGAAGTCGCAAAGCCAGAGGATTGTCAGCGGTTGGTGTGGTATAGAACGATAGGGTGTGAGCCAGAGTCAAAGTTCGGTATACTTTGTTCCAAGCAAGTGGATTGGTTTACTTTGGACTGCACAGTCCACGAGGTTTTTCCCATTACAGTTGACATATTTTATCAACTTGTGTTTCCTCGCTAAAATCCTGGTGTCATCTCTAACTTTATACTTTGCATTATTTTATCTGCCTGTGATTAACTGTTTAATTGTTAAAACATAAACTAAGCAAAGTTGTTAAGGACATAGATCTGTTTTCTAGAACAAACAAAAACTTTTCTGTATACATTCCGCTGCGTACGACTCACAGGATGTTGTGACTCAACATAACTTGAGAATGTTCTGATTCAAAGTCCTCATTTCCTATCTGTTTTAGTTGTAAGGTACATAAGTTAGAGGAATAAATTTATTTTAAGGGGGGAAGGATGTAATGGCCCAACATAACTTGGGAATGTTTTGAGTCAAATGACTCAAATCCCCCTTCAAGTGCTTAGTTAAATATTTTATGGTATTTATATGTAATGTAATGAATAAATGTGGCCTTAGAAAATTCTTATTATCACCATTGAATGTGAGAGCTTGACCGCAAAGCTGTCTAGTTAAGCTGAAAGGCACTAGGCGCCCAGAGCACCCAATATATGATCTTTCTTTTGGTTTAACTTTTTGATTATACTCTCCTCCAAATAAGGATACACTTAAGGGAGAAAGCTTGTTGCGGTAGAGATGCGGCCGAGTCTACTACTCCGACTAGTCATCGGAGTCATAAACTCCGGTGAAATCCTCTACTGTTCTTGTTTCTGTGTTTCTCTTTCTCTGGTTGGGTTTTTTGTTGGAATCTCTTGCTTTGGGTTTTTGGCATGCATTCATTCTTGGAGGTTGCTAGGTTGCCATGGTTGTTTCAAGGTGGTTCTGCGAGATCTGCAAATCCGTATAGAGGGCCCTCGATTTTCTTGGATGACGATTCGGTTGGAAGGAAAAGAGATGATCTTCGATTGTGTTTGGTGGGAAAGTTTGATAAGGATATGGGTGATGGGGCTCAAATTGCTGCTTGGGCATCGAGAGTTTGGAATGTTTCCTCTGGTGTGGGGGTTTCGTCGTTGCCGGATTCTCTCTTTCTCTTTCGGCTTCCCTCTTCGGCGGAGGCATCTCATGTTCTTAAAGTGGGTCAACGGGACTGGGGAACGGCAACTCTAAGTGTGGAGGCTTGGAGTTTCAAGGTGGGGTGTTCGGAGGTTCTGAAAGAGAAGGGGTTGAAGAAAGTTTCGATTTACGGTCCTCTCTTCACCTCTGGAGCCATGCTCTGTTCGTGACGATCAGTGATTTGTGTGGTGGTTTTATTTGGGTTGATGCCGATGAAGCAATTGATGTTGAGAGAGTCCGTATCACAGTGTCGGATGGTAAGGTCTGTCATTCGTTTGTGTTCATTCATGATGATCGGCTTTACTTTAAGGTGGCTATTTGGGAGGAGAAGCTTCCTGAGCTTGTTCCGACGACAGATAGTTTGGAAGGGGGTGATGGTTCTCATCTGCTTAAGGAAAATGAATGGTTGCGGTGGGAATCGTTAGGGGAGAGAGGGATGGCTGAGTTCAGAAAATGGAAAGAATGGAGGGACGCATTGTGGATCCGGAATACGGAGTGCTTTAGAAGATTGTCCACTCAGAAATGGCGGGAAGACCCTTTTTTCATGACGGATCATCGCCGGCAAGCTGGGTTCTGATCGAATCAGTGGGGTGGAGGTATTACCGGAAACGAACGTCAGTCTTTTTTGCAGAGTTGGGATCAGAGAAGGCATCGCGGTGATTTTCACGTGCAACAAGCTCGTGGGTGGGGGAGGAATCTTTTCAATACACGTGGTTGGCATCTAAGACATACCCGTTATAAGAGGAGTACAGCTGTACCCACGATTTTTTCATATTCTGCTCCAAATTCAGTCTCATCCGCTTGGGTTAGGAAGGGCCCAAAGTCTTCTCTGGTTGACGGGCCTATTCTTGGGCCGGAGAGTGCGGCTTTGGTCGTTCAAGGGATTAAAGATGTTTCTTCATCTCTTGACGGGCCGAGTGAGGGGCTTAAGGTTTATGGGCCAATTGGAGATTTGATTTCTCAACCATTTAAAGATGTTTCTGTTGAAGGGATTTCTGGATTGAAGAATGGGCTGGGCTCATCCCTGTCATGCTCTGGGGTTGGATTGAGCAACAGGTTCGGGCCTTTATCTTTGCCTTCCTCAGTGAACGAAGGAGGCGTTAAGCCATCTGGCTCTCTTAGTGAGAGATTCAGAGAGGATCAGAGAGGAAAGATTGCGCATTGTCATCGCCGTCTAAGAAGAAAGTTCTTCTTCCTGCGCTTCGTAAGAAGTGGACTCGAAAGGACAAGCAAAAGTGGGTGTTGTCCTCGCATTCGGATTCTGATCGGGTAAGTCCACATCTCTTACTGGATTTTCTTCATTTCATTCTTGTTCTTCTATCCCCTCTCCTTCTGTTGGGGGATCGAGTAGATCGTTGGAGTTGGAGAAGGGCGGGGTGGTCACTGTTTCCAATTCTTTGGCTCCGGTTGATGGAAGTGACTTGGTGTTTGAGTCAGTTGTAGGGCTTGTCGGCTGGTCTGTGAATGGGCTTGGTCTCGCTCGACTTTCAGAGAATTTTGGTGAGGGTGTTACAGTCTGTGTGGGACGGGATGTAAGGGTGAAGATTAATGATGCTTTTGCCACTGGTCTGTTGAAGGAGATTCGGGATCTTTTGGCCTCGAAATCAGTCCAGTTTGAGGAGGAGCCTGATTTACTGATGTTTGATTGCTCCCTTTCATCTTCTGTCCTTGATGATTGGGAGGGTGATGCTGGTTCTGCTCTTGATGGGGATTTGGGTTTAGTTCAATGGGAAAACATTGAGCAAGCGGTTAACTTGGCTGTTCCTTTGGCTGTTGTTCGTCCGGAGGAGGATTGGATGAGAGGTCCTCCTGTTAATGAAAAGGTGAATGATTTGGAGGAGGAGTGGGAGAGGGAGAA